AAAGAAAGAAAGAAAGAAAAGAAAGAAAGAAAATTGATTTAAAATCAAACAGGCAAGTAAGCAGGCAAAGAGAGAGAAAGAAAGAGACAGAGAGACCGACATGAAGGAAGAGAGAAAGAAACTCTTAAAATACATAACTCAGACCTAGATTTGTTGGTGATAATGATAGTACTGGTCATACTGTTATAAGTACAACGAACACACACCATTCCCAGCCATGATTTCAGACAATGATTGGATAAAAGATTCCGTACAACTACCACAATGCTCTCCCTTTACAAATCAATTCTCAGGTCCCTTAACCGTCCTAGGAAGCAGAGTGAATGGGCTTTCACCAGCCCCTAGAGAGCTGAAAGAGCCATGCTGTCAGCCAGGGTGCTGGGCTAAGGCTTGAAGAAGGTAGCTGACTCAGTCTTTAGGAGAGTCCTGGGGGTGGGTTGGGGGCAGGGTGCAGCTGCTGACAGGGAGTGGGAAGGAACATGGGTGGTTAGACCTTAAGCTCCGGGTTTCTCTTTGTGCAGAATTCAGTGAAGTTGGGAAAGGAAGTGAGACAGGGGCTGCTCTACCTTGTGTACCAGGAGCAGCTACTAACAAGGTTTTCAGTGTGTCATACGGCAGGTCTGAGTCACTATGCCTGAGCCAAGTGGCACAGTAATACACATCAGAGTCACTTGCTTCCACCTGTCGCAGTAGCAATTTAAAACTTCTGTCTGCAGCTTTAAAAGCATTGTATTTCCCTGGATTGATTCCTGATTCCACCACTTTCTTGGACTTATCTAAGTCATAGTATAGAATGCGTTGTGGGGTCCTGCCCTCCTGGAAGAGGTACCAGTGGATGTACGTGTTGGTACTTTGTTGAATATCACAAGTGATAATAATAGATGACCCGGTTTTCTTGGTGATTGAAACCGTTCTCCCTTCAGAATTGGAAGATATCCGACTGGCTGCAATGGGAACAACAACAAAAAACAATGAGGAATTCCTTAGTATGGCACCCGGTGGAAAACAAGCCAACTCCATAAGCATCGATCAATGTAACACATTAATACTTACGAGGAAGCAGGAAAGCCAGAAGTAGGGATAGAGCCCACTGCATGTCTTCCCCTCTTGGGCCTTAAATAGAAAGTGCCCAGGTGACAGGAGGAGCAGAATACTCCTCAAAGCTCAAATTCTACTCAGAAAGGAAGTGATCCCAGGAACAGAAGGCAGGGGATGGGAGCTGGTCCTTTTGACTGAGACACAGGCAGAGAGAAGTGACTGAGGATCTACCTTAGAAGACTCCAGGCTCTTCACCCAGAAGGGGTGGATCCTAGAAGAACTATAGAGGAGGCTCCTCCTCTCTGCTTCAAGCCACTTCTCCAGCGCCCTCCTGTGGCAGCTGACAGCAGGCGCTCTCCAGGAGAGAAGGCAGGAGCATGGGGAGCTCAGGACTGCAGCAGGTGGAGGGCAGGTCTGGCAGGAAGCTGACCCTGGATGCAGAGTGCCTGGGCCTTGTGGAGTGAGCAGTCCTGAATCAGGTCACTCCCCTGCACTCCTGAGTTTCCATGTGTTGCAGCTGCTGCCATGGGCTTGCCTTGTGCTGATCCTTCCTTATTATTGCCTGAATCACCATCCTTTTTATTAATACATCTGTAAGTGCACTCTCAGGTAACCACCAATAACAATTCTGAGAAAGGTTGAAATTGCTTGATTAAAAGGAATTAGGAGAAGGTACAGTGGTCTGCATTTTACTGTACTCAAAGGTAAATGGTGTGTGTGTGTGAGAGAGAGAGAGAAACAGAGAGTGATGAAAATAGATTTGTTAGGGAATTTTTGTTCTTCAATTAAAAAGATGCTCTCATGTAGGATTGTTAGATTTAGTAAAGCAAAACAAAACAAAAAGGCATGCCATGCCATGCAATATTTGATACATACTTAAACTAAAAATGTTATATGTTGCTTATTTATGTGAAATACCAGTTTACTTGGGCATCCTAATTTTATTTGGCATCCATACCCTCAGAAACTGTAATGATATCTGCACAGTCTTTGAATTGATAGCTGGATTAATAGGTGGTCAAACACGTTTAGTAGATTGGTGGTAAAATTAAAGAGATGTCTATACAGATGTTCACTGCTACTTTAATAAATATGTTTGGATATCTGTTTAAACTGCTCACAATAAGAAGCAAAAGAATGCCCTTCTCAGTGTTTGTTTTGTTCTCTCTCAGGTAATTCATCTTCTACTGCCATAACATCTGGGAATGAGAAGGGTAGGAGACTGTGGTTGGTCTTCTTTCTGCCTCAGGGACCACATGTGCAGGGACATGAGGCTGCCACAAGAGCAGCTTTGAAAGACGAGCGCTCCAGGTCCTTACACCGGACAGAAGCTCAAGGACCTTGGAGCCTGGAAAATCCTTAGGGGCGCTGTGGCTCATGCCTGTAATCCTAGCACTCTGGAAGGCCGAGGAGGGCTAATTGTTTGAGCTCGAAAGTTCAGAACCAGCCTGAGCAAGAGCGAGACCCCATCACTACTAGAAAGAAATTAGCTGGACAACTAAAAATATATATAAAAAATTAGCCAGGCATGGTGGCATATGCCTGTAGTCCCAGCTACCCAGAAGGCTGAGGCAGGAGGATCGCTTGAGCCCAGGAGTTTGAGGTTGCTGTGAGCTAGGCTGATGCCACAGCACTCTAGCTCGGGCAACAGAGTGAGGCTCTGTCTCAAAAAAAAAAAAAAAAAAAAAGAGAAAGGAGAGAATTGCCATCATACTAGAATACAAAAAAAAGAAAATTCTTAAGAAACTAATAAAAGAAATTAATTCCAATGGAATCTAAAAGAAATATAAAGTTATAGTAATGAAAAGAGGGCAATATTGGCACTGGAAAGTAAAGCTCATTGAACACAATGAAAAATCCAGAAAGAGATCCACATATTAGTAATGTTTTCTTATCAATATGATAAAGTTATACATTCAGAGCAGTAAGGAAACAAGTGATTATTCAATAAATTTATTTTTGGGAATTGATTCACCATGTGAAAACAAATACTGTTGAATTGCTTTCTTACCATGCATAGATAGAGATTTTGGTGAAACAAACTTCAAAAATTAAAAGCACTAAAATTTAACATTAATGAAATGCATATAAACAGTAGGTTGAGATTGACCTCTCTAAGCCTGATATTAAAAGTAGAGATAAAAATTGGTAGATTTTAATAAAAGTAATATTCAAAGTTCTATTTCCCAAAAGGTGTCAAAAATAAATAACAAGAAATGAGGGGAAATTTTTAACACATATCATAAAAGGTTAATATCTCTAAAGTGATATATAAAGATTCTTTCAAAACAAAGAAAATAATTAATACTCCAATAGAAGAATGGGCAGAAAGTACGAAAAGCAATTCACAATAGAAACAAAAATGGCCCGTAAACTTAGGAAACAATGCTAGCACTCATTAAAGATAAGAAAATGAAAATGGAATTAACAAATCTCATTTTCTGAAACAGAGCTTGGGTTGAAATCGCTACCACAATAAATTCTATGTCATTGTGAACGTTATTTAACTTCTCCCTGCCTCAATTTCTCATCTGTTAAATTCAATGGTACTTTGAACCCTCCAAAAGGTATCTGTGAAGATTAAATAAGATAATACTTGTAAGGTGCTTACTGCAGTAACTACCAGGGACTGAGTACCCACATTTACCAGTCATTATTATTACTATACATACAGTAATTATTGTATTAAATTCCAGATGGATTGACGACGTAAACATTAAACAGTAAGTGAGTAAATACGTTAAAACAAATCATATGCATTTCTTGATGGACAATCATGAGGTGTGGGCATGTATTCAATTAAGGTCAGAAAACAGAAAATGAAAGATTGATTAAAATGTATTAAACCAGAATACCAAAACAAAAATGAAGCCGTGTATGTTAAAATAATGTAGAGCCACAAGGTATAAATAGTAATCAAAGTCTGATTTTTCTACAAGTACAGATATAGCCAGAAGTTAACCAGCTATTGTTCCCTAAAGTCATTGCTGCTGTAATTAGTTACTGCTTAATGTCACTATCCTCCCAGACAGGCGCAAGATCAGTGACATCTCCCCTCTATTTCTATTGATAGCATGATGTTTGGAAATCCCAAGACATTGGGATTCTGATGATAACATTGCTGTCATAAATCCCAAGGATTTGTACATAAATTGCCAGCATTGCTGTGGTTACACACTCGACATTACTGCTGTAAATTTTAAGACTGGTCTTTAAGGTGTTTTCCAGAATGCATCCTAGAGACCTGCTGATGCCAACCAGAGCTGTCAATAGGCCTGGGAATGGACCCGCAGCCCTGAACCAACCCCAACCCCACTCAGGAAACCTCCCAATAGAGAAGATAATTTCTGCATCCCAACCCAATGAGCCCATCCCCTGCCAATAAGCAGACACAATTCCCTAGCCCCTTTTTGCCCAATCAACTATCTTTAAAAACCCTTTCTCCCAAGTTCTTGGGAAGATGGAATTGAGAATTTACTCCCATCTCCTCGTCTGGCACCTTGCAAAATAAAATCTTTCTCTGCTGCAACCCCTGCTGTCTCAGTATATTTCTTCACTGTGCGGTGGTGGAGGGACCTGGGTGGGCTGTAACAAAAACACAAATATTAAATTAAACACAAACAGTACATGTTGCACATATGATGAAATAAATACTTATTCAAAAGTGCAAGATTTCTTCTGAAAAAATAAGAAAAAATGAAAACAACCAACTGAACTGACAAAAATATTGTCACCTATACGTTGAGGAACAGAAGAGGGAAGATCAACCTAGGATGGAAGGGAAAAAGTCTAAATGCATCTTCGCTTATCATTTTGACTTCCGATTCATATACATATTTTACCTATACAAAACAAATATGAAACAAAATGAAATAATAAAGCCTGTCTGAAAAATATGAAAATACAAAGTGAAGAAAAAAGACTAGCAATGTATCGAAGGTTGCACAAACATAAAGAGAATTATTTCAAGTGATTTTTTTCAATACAGTATTTTGATTGTACATCCTGAGACTAGAGAAAGACAGAGAGAGAGAGACAGAGAGAGAGAGAGAGAGAGAGAGAGAATCTAAAAAGCAAGAGAGCAAGCTGTAAAGGAGAGACAGAGATAGAAAAACAGGAAGGGAGAGAGGCAGGGACAGAGTGAATCCCAAAATTCATAACCTAGCCCTAGTGTTGTTAGTGGTAATGAGAGTAATGCTCACACTGTTATGAACACAATAAGCACCATCACCCCCCTCCCCACGATCTCTGAACAGTGATTGGATAAATGATTCTGTATAACTAATCTTCCCATAATGCTGTCCTGAATCTCTCTCTCTCTCTCTGTAGATCAACACTCTGGACCCTTAACAGTCCTACGAAGCAGAGTGAATGGGCCTCCACCAGCCCCTACAAGAGCGGAAAGGACCATGCTGTCTGCCAGAGTGCTGGGCTAAGGCCTGGGGAAGGCAGGTCAGTCTTTAGCAGTCCTGGGTATGGGATGGGGGCAAGGTGCGGCTGCTGACAGGGGAGTGGGATGGAACGGCGGTGGTTAGGCCTTGAACCCACAGTTTTTCGTTGTTCACAATTCAGTGAAGGTGGGGCAGGGAGTGAGACAGGGGCCGGTTTATCTTGTGTACCAGAAGCAGCTACAAACAAGGTTTTCAGTGTGGCACAGGGCAGGTCTGAGTCACTCTGTCTGCCCCAGGTGGCACAGTAATACATGCCAGAGTCACTTTCTTCCAGATTTTTGGAATATAAACCTAGGGCTCTTCCCTCTGCTTGCATAAGCATGGTATTTCTCTGGACTGAATCCTGATTCCAATACCATCTTGGAGCTATAACTAAGTCATAGTATAAAATGCATCATGGGGTCCTGCCCTCCTGGAAGAGGTACCAGTGGATGTACGTGTTGGTACTTTGTTGAATATCACAAGTGATAATAATAGATGACCCGGTTTTCTTGCTGATTGTCATTGTTCTCCCTTCAGAATTGGAAGATACCTGACTGGTTGCAATGGGAACAACAACAAAAAACAGCGAGGAATTCCTTAGCATGGCACCCGGTGCAAAACAAGC